TCTAGCACAATTATTATCTATCAATAGTGTGTTGTACAACTTGTGTTTTTCAACCTTAGTAAATTGAAAAAAAATCTTAAAAGCTTTGAGGATACTTTTTGACTAATTGTCTAGAATGGTTTACTGTACTTACCGGTTTCCAATCTTTCATATTTGGGAAATATAAACAAATATTACTTGAGAAAAAGGAGGAGAAAATTACTTAAAAGTTTTCATTATATACCAAGAACAACAATATATCTTAATTCTTTTCGAACATCAAAAAAGAAAAAATAAATCCAGAAAACATAGTATAAGATTAGATCCTGTTAGAGAGTTTTCTGTGTTATTCACCAAAAAAAAGAGAGTTTTCTGTGTTCATAGTAATTATATTTCTTTTGTACCCTTTTCTTTCTCAGCTAAAACAAAACAAAACAAAAAACAAGTGAAGAACCCAAAGAACAAAAACCAGAGCTCTTCCACATTTTCGACCAAAACCTGTACTTTTGGAAGAAGCAGAGACAAAGCTTCCGAGGTTGTTATCCCCATTACTGCAACAACAAAGCTTCCTTTTCTTTCTTCATAACTTCGAGCTGTCTTTTCGCATACTTCGTGATCAGAACAGTTGTCACAACAGTCGCTACAAAACCGAGAACGTTAAGAACATTCTGCAGAATCGAGAAACCCTTTTGTTCCACAGAAGATGCATCTGCCAATGTCCTTATAAGCTTCCCTCTACAAAAAAATCAAAACAAACTATCAGTATGCTAAAGCAATCAGTAATAGCTATCGAGGAAATTGCAAGACATTTCCAGACACTTACGTATAAATTGCGACAAAGGTCTCTGGCAACATGCCTATGAGAGAACCGGTAATGTAAGGACCGTAATTTACACGAGTAGCAACAGCGCAGTAGTTATAAATAACATAAGGGAATGGAGAAATCCGGATTAAGGTTACTGCTCGAAACTGGTGAAACCAACTGCCTCCACCAGCAGCTCTCAACATCGCAGCGTGATCCGGATATCTTTCTAACCAACCCTACAAAATGATTACACAAATCAATATCCACTAATACGAAGAAGTTGTTGCTTACGATATTAACTGATCTCAAGCCGAGACACATACTTGAATTTTGTCACAGAAGAGATAGCTGATGAAATAAGGAAGTGATACACCGATCGCTACAGCTGGAGTCGTAAGAAGAAAGCCATAGCCATAACCAAATGTAATCCCAGCAACCCACATTGACGGTGTAGATGGAAGAAGTATCAAGGGCAATAACGCAACGGATGCGAATACAAGAATACCACACACAGGGTGTGTTAATGTCGCCATCTCCCATTGTATAAGAGGGATAAGCTCCTAAAACAAAAGGTAATTGGATAATGCCATAATCAGTTATTCGAATCGGGCAATATAAGTAATCGAAAATCTACAGAGTTTTAGCCACAGAACATTAACTACAAACCTCAATTCAGGCTAACTTTCGTTCTATAAGCAATTGAGCTAATCAGATCCTGAGCTAATCGCATGAACCAATCTTATAAAGGAACCTACTTTCTACACTAAAAGAACAGTGTTGAAACCAGAATCAAAACCCAATTTGATAAAGAAGCAGACTTTTTCGAAGAACATAACACAAGAATCACCAACCGAGCAGTGAAATTCTGGGATTGAGAACATGCATTATATGAAGGAAAAATCAAAACCTTATCCATGATTAAAGGACCGATCCATTTGTACCCAGCAAGAGCTAAAGCACCTAGAAACGCAAAGAGAAGAGTAAGCTTGATCCAGAACCAAACAGATCTTTTCCGTACAC